TGTCAGCCTGGGTCGGGCCCCAGGGCTGGCTCCCACCTCTGCCCCCTGTGCCTGTGGGGTGGGGTGAGGACCTGGTCCAGCCCCATGTGGCTTGCTAGTCCAGCTTTGCACTGCAGTGGGTCACAGGGCTCTGGGAGGCGCAGCTCCTATGCACGCCTCCCGGAGCCGTGCGACCCGCTCTGGTGCAAACCCAGACTAGCAAGCCACAGCCAGGGATCTGGGCCCAGCCCGGCTAGGCTGCAGGGGGGCCCCAGGACTCGACTGGGCCTGGCACGGTCCCCACATGCAGCACTGGGTCCTGTCACCATGGGCCCAGCCCAGTTGGGCTGCAGAGGGTCCCAGGACTGGGTCCTGCTGCCACAAGACCAGCCCGGCTGGGTGGCAAGAGCAGCCCCAGGGCCGGCAGAACCAGGCTGGGCTCAGTGCATGGTCCCTGCACTGCTGCTGTTAAAGGTTAGTTATGTGCCCTGGGCAGGAGGGCTGGGGCCCTCCAGGGTGGAGCTGGGACTCCCCAGGACACCTGAGACCCTGGGCAGGGGGGCTGGGGCCCTGTGTGGGATAGGGGATGTGGCCCTCCAGGGTGGAGCTAGGATCCTGGGTGAGGAGGCCTCCAGGGTGCCTGGGACCCTGGGCAGGGGGATAGGGGCTGTGGCTCTCCAGGGTGGAGCTGGGAATCTGGGCGGGGGAGGACATTCCATGTGCTGGGGGGCCTGTACCCTATGGGGGCCAGGGGGCCCACCCCTCCTGAGCAGCCCCCCACAGTGCCCCAGTAATTGCCCCACTCCTACCCACAGACCAACCCACATCCCTCCACATCCACCCACCCGCCTTCCCCCACACCCCTTATCACCCTCTTTTCTACAAACAAAGGCTTCCAAATTGCTTTAATATTGTAACTATACCAATAAAGCATTACCCAACTTATCACTGTCTCTCTCTCTCTCTAGATATGTGTGTGCATGTATAGAGTGGTTTTTTGTTTTAAATGTGGAAGAACATGGATTTTGGGGTATTTTAAAAAATGGATTTGGGATGCTGCTGCAGCAGTCCAGCTGGCACAAGGGGTAGTGTCCCCGGGTATCAATTGGCTGGGCCCCAGAAGCTCCAGAGAGTGAGTAGCCCCGAGCTGCTTGCCAGGGCAGCTTTTTGTATGGATGTTGCCAGGACAGGGTAGCTTTTTATACTGTTGGGGACAGCACAGGTGCTGGCCCCAGGGTCTAGCTCCCCCTGGCTGCAGATCTGAGATGAGCCTGGCGGGGTTATTTTGCCCCAAGTGGCACAATTTGCTCCATACCAAAGTGCATGTCTGAGCATGCACCAGGCAAAAAGCCCTGGTTTAAATTTGCACCGCTTTTATTTGAGCTGCTGCAAGCACATGTGCTTGCATGTGTGGACGCGCCCCAGAAGATTTAACCTTCTAATTATAAATAAACATATTAGATTATGGCCATGTGTAGGAGTTACCGAGAAGAGTGAAGTGGCTTTAACAAGGGTGGATGTGGATGGGGCAATCACAGAAGGAATTGTAGA